CCTGTCCCCTGTCCCGCCCTCACGAGTGTGGCCCCGATCCTGAGACCACAGTGCCTTTCTCAGCCTCGGGAAGTCCCAGCATGTGGAACCCACCCATGGGGACAGGACCGAGCTCCGATGCTCCCCGAAGCCCCCTGTGGGGACGCCTTGCTCGGCTGAGTCTTAGATCTTCCGAGAGCCGCCCGGGTTAGCGTTGCTGTAGCGATGCCTTCTTTTCTTTTGTAATTAAAGGTTTTGGAGATCTCAACTCTGGCTGTGTACCGATTCCCACACCCAGGCTGGTATGTGACTGGAGAACCGAGGGCGGCTACAGCAACCCGCCCGGCGAGCACCCGGGAAGGGTGGCCCACCGTCCCGCTGGGACTCGCGGGCGAAACACCCGGTCGTTAGGAAAGGGGGCTCACGGCCCCGCCCCCTGAGGGCCTCTCTCACGTTTCTTGACTCACCGTCAGGACGTAGTGCCCAGAGTGCTGGCAGGAGGCTGTCGGTGCCCCTCTAAGGCAGTGGGCCCAGCCCTGGCATGGGCGGACGTGTGGCCCAGGGGTGCTGGGCCGGAGCAGGGAGGCCCCAGCTCAGGGCTGGGTGACGTGGGCACTGGCATTGGGCGCAGCCCTCCTCTGGCTTGGAAGGCCTGTGACTTTGGGCTGGGCAAAGTCTACCTCTCCATACGGCGACGGGTGGGGCCTGGGGCTTGCCGATCTCACGCTGCTGTTGGAGCCCCCGGGCCCCTGGTTCTGGCCACACAGAGGGATGAGGGGGCAGGGTCCCAAGGTATCTTGCCATGTAGCTGTGGCAGCCACGGGTCGTGCTGCCCAGAACATAGCCGCCCGGCAGGCACATGTGCTGGCCTCGGGCCCCGGGCGGCCCTGGTCTCTGGGTCCCTCTTTGGGCTGAGCAGCTGGGAATTGCTCTCGGTGGAGAGCGGGCCTGAAGGGCTTGCTGTTTGGGGTCAGCTCTGTGGGAGCCGCTGGGAGGGTTGATCTCGGGAAGTCGCTGGGCTGGCACTGTCCTTGGAGCCTGAGGGGCTGGGCCTGGGGTGACAGGCGCTTCATGGGGGCCAGCTCTCCTGTGTCTAACGTGTCTGAGAATTACGGGGCTGGCATCCGGGTGAGAGTGGGTTTAAATTTAAATAGAAATGAGGGCATGGTGAGGCCATGAGGGACACGAAGGGACGGGGATGGGACAGGATCAAGGGCCGGGAGATGGGGTTAGAGGAAAGGGTCAGGGTAGGGCATGTGGTTAAGGCTCAGGGGATAAGGTCAGGAGCTGGTGGGCAAGGGAGAGGGTCAGGAGACGGACAGGGTGGAGTCAGGAGATGGGGTTGGAGGGAGGGGTCAGGATAGGATGTGGTTAGGGGTTAGGGTAGAGTCAGGACAGGGTCAGATCAGGAGACAGGGTCAGGTGATAGGACAAGGTCAAGGGCAGGATATAGGGTCAAAGGAAGGGGTCAGGGAATCGGATACAAGGTTAGGAGTCGGGGCTGGGGAAGGGGTCGGAAGTAGGGATGTGAATGTGGGTTGGGGGGTAAGGGATGGAGTCGGGGCTGGGGAAGGGGTCGGAGGTAGGGATGTGAATGTGGGTTGGGGGGTAAGGGATGGAGTCAGGGGCCAAGTCGCCCAGTTCTTCTGGGACCTGAGCTGAGTGTCCGGGGTCTGGAACCTCAGAGGTGTCCCATGTAAGACGGAGGGTCAGCTGGCCGGGCGCCGTGCGGGGCGGTGCTGTGGACGGTCCGAGACCACTCTGCCCTCGGTCTCGGTGAGGGTTCTGGCTGGAGTCCGAGACGGGCAAGTTCTTGTTGCCTCCCCTCACTCTCTCTCACTCTCCCCCTCGCTCTCCCCCTCGCTCTCTCTGCATCTGCCTTTCTCCGTTTTCAACCGTGAGTGTCCAGTTGCTGGCGTCCTGGGCCTCACCCGCCATCTCCCGTGTGTCTCTCCAGGAAGCCGGAGCTGCGGGGCCTGCTGTCGCTGTGGGACATGGTTCGCCTGGTGAACATGCTCATCGTGTTCCGGTTCCTGCGCATCATCCCCAGCATGAAGGTCTGTGGGCACTGCCGCGCCCGCCCCTCGCTGCCCCGTCCTGCTCACACTGCTCCTCATTCCCTGGAGAGGGGGAGCCTGGGCAGGGAGGGACCAGACCCTGCGGTGGGCCCCGCCCCTCACCTGGCTGGGGGTGAGGCGGAGGCCAGCACGGTGGGACTGTTGCGGGGGGAGTGTCCAGCTCGTGGGGCCCTGGCAGGTGTGAGGGCAGGCGGAGCCCCTGGGACCACATGCTCCCAAGGTCCCGAGGTTTCTGAGGGGCTTCTGGCAAGGGCTCCTTAGTGGCTCCTGGGCACGAGAGCAAAGGTAGGCTTGACCGCAGCGCTCACTTCCAGGACCCCAAGTGCAAGGATGGGGGGCTTGTGAGTATCTCCGAGCCTCGGTGTCTCTCTGGGTCCCCACCAGGAGTGACATCAGCCTGGAGGGGCGGGGAAGGAGGTGAGCAGTGGCTCAGGCCCAGCCCAGCCCAGCACGGAAGTGGACTTTACTGCTCCGTCTGTTTTCCCAGGGACGTTTCAGGGGAAGAGACACCGAGGACACCAGCCCCTTTCTGTGTGTCCGGGGCCTTCCCCTGCACCGGGGCTTCCACCTGAGGGCAGCTCAGGATCCTGGGTGCAGGGGGGGCTGCTGCCCCGAAGTCTCTGTGCATGCCACACAGGCACATGTGATCACATGTTTGTGTGAACACACAAATACCCACATAAGTCATATGACACCACACACATGACTACAGCCTACACATTTACACATACAACTACACGTAATCAATCACCCAAGGTAACCATACACATAAACACACATAATAACATGATTATACACATGTCATAACAGACATAATTGTATACACATACACACCCAGAAATGCATGTGCGTGTAACACAATCACACACAACACACATGCAATCACACACTCATACACTATACACAAATACACATAACTATATGCACAGATACACAAGTTGCATACATACAAGCCCCACTATACACAAATACACACAACTATATGCACAGATACACAAATTGCATACATACAAGCCCCACACACGCACACACATGTGTACACATATACACACACAGTCATGCACATGTGCACATGCACACTGGCTTCCCCTGCCAGCATCCAGCTATGATATTCTAATGTATCAGCTGGGAAATGGGGCTCAGGTTCGTGTGGGTGGGAGCAGCTGTGTAGCCGGGGTTCCTGGCTGCGTCTCTGAGGCCCCTTTCCCAGACTTGGTCCCCAGGTGCTGACCTGGGAGCCTCCAGACCAGAGGAGCTGCCTGGCCTCAGCGGCTGGAGGGCAGCATGGCCTTTCCTGCACGCGTGCCTCACTGCGGGGACTTGGAGCCCAGACCCAAGGCTGGGCGGGCAAAGTGTCTGGATGTGTGGGGGCGAATGGGTGCCTATGGCTGTCTAGTGTGTACAGCTGTGTGTGTGTACCACTGTACAGGTTGTGTGTGTGTGTGTGAGTGTGTGTAGGGGTGGCTGTGGGGTGTGTGCACAGGTGTGTGTGTGTATGTATGTGTGAGTGTGTGTAGGGGTAACGGGTGTGTGCACGGGTGTGTGTGTGTGTGTGTCTGTGTATGTGTATATGTGGGGTGTGTGCACAGGTGTGTGTGTATGTATGTGTGAGTGTGTGTAGGGGTAACAGATGTGTGTGTGTGTGTGTATGTGTATATGTGGGGGTGGGTGTGCACAGGTGTGTGTGTGTGTGTGTGTGTGTATGTGCGTCTCTGAGGCCCCTTTCCCAGACTTGGTCCCCAGGTGCTGACCTGGGAGCCTCCAGACCAGAGGAGCTGCCTGGCCTCAGCGGCTGGAGGGCAGCATGGCCTTTCCTGCACGCGTGCCTCACTGCGGGGACTTGGAGCCCAGACCCAAGGCTGGGCGGGCAAAGTGTCTGGATGTGTGGGGGCGAATGGGTGCCTATGGCTGTCTAGTGTGTACAGCTGTGTGTGTGTACCACTGTACAGGTTGTGTGTGTGTGTGTGAGTGTGTGTAGGGGTGGCTGTGGGGTGTGGGGGTGTGCGTGTGTGTGTATGTATGTGTGAGTGTGTGTAGGGGTAATGGGTGTGTGCACGGGTGTGTGTGTGTGTGTGTGTGTATGTGTGTATGTGTATATGTGGGGGTGTGTGTGCACAGGTGTGTGTGTACAGGTGTGTGTATGTGTGTATGTGTATATGTGGGGGTGTGTGTGCACAGGTGTGTGTGTACAGGTGTGTGTATGTGTGTATGTGTATATGTGGGGGTGTGTGTGCACAGGTGTGTGTGTACAGGTGTGTGTATGTGTGTATGTGTATATGTGGGGGTGTGTGTGCACAGGTGTGTGTGTACAGGTGTGTGTATGTGTGTATGTGTATATGTGGGGGTGTGTGTGCACAGGTGTGTGTGTACAGGTGTGTGTATGTGTGTATGTGTATATGTGGGGGTGTGTGTGCACAGGTGTGTGTGTACAGGTGTGTGTATGTGTGTATGTGTATATGTGGGGGTGTGTGTGCACAGGTGTGTGTGTACAGGTGTGTGTATGTGTGTATGTGTATATGTGGGGGTGTGTGTGCACAGGTGTGTGTGTACAGGTGTGTGTATGTGTGTATGTGTATATGTGGGGGTGTGTGTGCACAGGTGTGTGTGTACAGGTGTGTGTATGTGTGTATGTGTATATGTGGGGGTGTGTGTGCACAGGTGTGTGTGTACAGGTGTGTGTATGTGTGTATGTGTATATGTGGGGGTGTGTGTGCACAGGTGTGTGTGTACAGGTGTGTGTATGTGTGTATGTGTATATGTGGGGGTGTGTGTGCACAGGTGTGTGTGTACAGGTGTGTGTATGTGTGTATGTGTATATGTGGGGGTGTGTGTGCACAGGTGTGTGTGTACAGGTGTGTGTATGTGTGTATGTGTATATGTGGGGGTGTGTGTGCACAGGTGTGTGTGTACAGGTGTGTGTATGTGTGTATGTGTATATGTGGGGGTGTGTGTGCACAGGTGTGTGTGTACAGGTGTGTGTATGTGTGTATGTGTATATGTGGGGGTGTGTGTGCACAGGTGTGTGTGTACAGGTGTGTGTATGTGTGTATGTGTATATGTGGGGGTGTGTGTGCACAGGTGTGTGTGTACAGGTGTGTGTATGTGTGTATGTGTATATGTGGGGGTGTGTGTGCACAGGTGTGTGTGTACAGGTGTGTGTATGTGTGTATGTGTATATGTGGGGGTGTGTGTGCACAGGTGTGTGTGTACAGGTGTGTGTATGTGTGTATGTGTATATGTGGGGGTGTGTGTGCACAGGTGTGTGTGTACAGGTGTGTGTATGTGTGTATGTGTATATGTGGGGGTGTGTGTGCACAGGTGTGTGTGTACAGGTGTGTGTATGTGTGTATGTGTATATGTGGGGGTGTGTGTGCACAGGTGTGTGTGTACAGGTGTGTGTATGTGTGTATGTGTATATGTGGGGGTGTGTGTGCACAGGTGTGTGTGTACAGGTGTGTGTATGTGTGTATGTGTATATGTGGGGGTGTGTGTGCACAGGTGTGTGTGTACAGGTGTGTGTATGTGTGTATGTGTATATGTGTGTGTGTGTGTGTGTATGTGGGGGGGTGTGTGCACAGGTGTGTGTGTACAGGTGTGTGTATGTGTGTATGTGTATATGTGTGTGTGTGTGTGTGTGTGTGTGTATGTGGGGGGGTGTGTGCACAGGTGTGTGTGTGTATGTATGTGTGAGTGTGTGTAGGGGTAACGGGTGTGTGTGTGTGTGTGTGTGTGTGTATGTGGGGGGGTGTGTGCACAGGTGTGTGTGTGTATGTATGTGTGAGTGTGTGTAGGGGTAACGGGTGTGTGTGTGTGTGTGTGTGTGTGTATGTGGGGGGGTGTGTGCACAGGTGTGTGTGTGTATGTATGTGTGAGTGTGTGTAGGGGTAACGGGTGTGTGTGTGTGTGTGTGTGTGTGTATGTGGGGGGGTGTGTGCACAGGTGTGTGTGTGTATGTATGTGTGAGTGTGTGTAGGGGTAACGGGTGTGTGTGTGTGTGTGTGTGTGTGTATGTGGGGGGGTGTGTGCACAGGTGTGTGTGTGTATGTATGTGTGAGTGTGTGTAGGGGTAACGGGTGTGTGTGTGTGTGTGTGTGTGTGTATGTGGGGGGGTGTGTGCACAGGTGTGTGTGTGTATGTATGTGTGAGTGTGTGTAGGGGTAACGGGTGTGTGTGTGTGTGTGTGTGTGTGTATGTGGGGGGGTGTGTGCACAGGTGTGTGTGTGTATGTATGTGTGAGTGTGTGTAGGGGTAACGGGTGTGTGTGTGTGTGTGTGTGTGTGTATGTGGGGGGGTGTGTGCACAGGTGTGTGTGTGTATGTATGTGTGAGTGTGTGTAGGGGTAACGGGTGTGTGTGTGTGTGTGTGTGTGTGTATGTGGGGGGGTGTGTGCACAGGTGTGTGTGTGTATGTATGTGTGAGTGTGTGTAGGGGTAACGGGTGTGTGTGTGTGTGTGTGTGTGTGTATGTGGGGGGGTGTGTGCACAGGTGTGTGTGTGTATGTATGTGTGAGTGTGTGTAGGGGTAACGGGTGTGTGTGTGTGTGTGTGTGTGTGTATGTGGGGGGGTGTGTGCACAGGTGTGTGTGTGTATGTATGTGTGAGTGTGTGTAGGGGTAACGGGTGTGTGTGTGTGTGTGTGTGTGTGTATGTGGGGGGGTGTGTGCACAGGTGTGTGTGTGTATGTATGTGTGAGTGTGTGTAGGGGTAACGGGTGTGTGTGTGTGTGTGTGTGTGTGTATGTGGGGGGGTGTGTGCACAGGTGTGTGTGTGTATGTATGTGTGAGTGTGTGTAGGGGTAACGGGTGTGTGTGTGTGTGTGTGTGTGTGTATGTGGGGGTGTGTGTGCACAGGTGTGTGGGGTGGTGCTAATTCACGTGCCTTGCAGAGGGAGGGTGATGGGCAGGGTTGGCGCCACCTAGTGAGACCAGGAGGAATAGTGGCTCTGCTCTCTCCCTGTCCTCAGCTGATGGCCGTGGTGGCCAGCACCATCCTGGGCCTGATCAAAAACATGCGGGCTTTCGGCGGGATCCTGGTGGTGAGTCTGGCCGCCATGTGGGCCTGGGTGGGGTGGTCACTCAGTGGGAGCTGGGCTGTGGGTTGGGCGAGCTGGGGGGAAGCACCAGGGCAGGAGGCCAGAGCAACCCCTTCGTGCCAGACGCTTTTCAGTCACTTTCAAATCCCTCCTGTTTTCTGGGCCATCAGCTCTGCCCCTGGCCCAGCCTGGTCAGGTGGGGCCCTGGTGCTGCTCCAGGCACAAGGCCCGTGGGCCGGATACTGGGTGACAGTGACGAGGTAGAGAGCCCTGCTGCGCAGATGGTGCCGCTGGTGGCCTTTTTGTCCTTTATGTTGAACAACACCCTGGGGGTGGGGAGCCCAGGCCCTTCAGGAGGCTAGAAATAGGATCTTGCATCAGGCCCCGTCCCAGACCCCTATTTGCACATTGGAGGAAACTGAGGCATAGGAGGGGGCTGGGTTAGTCCAGAGTGTGCACCCCTCCCCAGTCCGCCTGGCACCTTCAGGAAGAAGCTGGGTGGTGCTCCTTGGACGCCCCCTGGTGGATGTGGGAAACATGGTGGGACTTCTGCCTGGAGAGGCCTGATCTTCCCCTCCCTTCCCTGGGACCAGCTTCCCCCTGGGTCCAGCTTCTGGGCCCAGCTTCTCCCGGGACCAGCTTCTTCTGGGACCAGCTTTTCCCGGGCCAGCTTCTCCCTGGCCCAGCTTCTTCCGGGCCCAGCTCCTCCTGGGACCAGCTCCTCCCGGGACCAGCTCCTCCCGGGCCCAGCTTCTCCCTGGCCCAGCTTCTCCCAGGACCAGCTTCTCCCGGGCCCAGCTCCTCCCTGGCCCAGCTTCTTCCGGGCCCAGCTTCTTCCGGGACCAGCTTCTCCCTGGCCCAGCCCAGCTTCTCAGCTCCTCCCGGGCCCAGCTTCTCCCGGGCCCAGCTCCTCCCTGGCCCAGCTCCTCCCTGGCCCAGCTTCCCAGCTTCTCCCGGGCCCAGCTTCTCCCGGGCCCAGCTCCTCCCTGGCCCAGCTCCTCCCTGGCCCAGCGGCCCAGCTTCTCCCGGGACCAGCTTCTCCCGGGCCCAGCTTCTCCCGGGCCCAGCTCCTCCCTGGCCCACTGGCCCACCTCCCTGGCCCAGCTTCTCCCGGGCCCAGCTTCTCCTGGGCCCAGCTCCTCCCGGGACCAGCTTCTCCCTGGCCAAGCTTCCTCTGGGACCAGCTCCTCCCTGGCCCAGCTCCTCCCGGGCCCAGCTTCTCCTGGGCCCAGCTTCTTGCCCTGCTGTGGAGTCCTCCTCGTCACTCTCCCTGCCACACTGGTCCTGACGGGGCAGGCAGCCTTCGCTTCCTTGGCCTCCCCTGGGCCCCAGTGTATCTGTGGGGCTCCCCGGTGGTGACTCCTCCCTTCTCCCCTTCAGCCACTGTCCTGTGCCTCTGGGGCAGGTGGGTGGCCAGGAGGGGGTGTCTGGAAGTAGAGCCAAGTGTTGTGGGGGGCCAGCAGCGCCCATAGTTGGGGGCTGTGGCCAGGCTGGGAACCCTCACAGGCCAGCCTGGCTCTGTCCTCCTTTGGGCGGGGCTGCCCCCGCTGACCGAGCCCTGCCTCCGCAGGTGGTGTACTACGTCTTTGCCATCGTTGGCATCAACCTGTTCCGGGGTGCCATTGTGCCTCCTCCTGGAAACATCAGGTGAGGTGGGGCCTAAGGTGCGGAAGGAGCGCTAGTGGGGGGGGGGGCGGGGCGGTGGGACAGGGGTAAGGACAGGGGTGAGGCCTCGGCAGCGTGTGGGTCAGCTCTCCAAGAGGAGTCTCCTGCTCTTTTCTCTTTCTTCCCTGTCCCCTGCCCTCCCCTCCCCCCTGGACCCCTGGCCTAGAGTCTGTGCTGACTGTTCCGATATCTGCTCAGAGCAGCCCTCCCAACCCCTGTTGGACCTTGAGCTCCTCCACTCAGCTCCCCCTAGGCTCCCCCCATAGACTCCCCGCCGAGGCCCCCCCACCGGGCCGGTGCTGGCAGGGCTGTGAGTGTAGAGCTGACTGCTGGCCACAGCTCTTGCCTCCCAGCTGCCCTCACAGACCCTCCGGAGGTCAGGGGCATTTCTTCTGCCTGTTTCTGGGGGCCCAGAGAGGGTTCCATGCTGTGCAGGGGCTAAGGTGGTGTAGGGCACGCCTGGTGTGCATGTCCTACACCGCGCCCTGACCCGCCTGTGTCCCAGCCTGGCCCCTAACGGCTCGGCGCCCTGCGGCAGCTACGAGCAGCTGGAGTACTGGGCCAACAACTTCGATGACTTTGCGGTGAGTCCCTCCCCCTTGCTTCCCGGGACCCCGGCCCCCTGCCTCCCGCACCCTCCTTGACCGTGCCGTTGCCCACAGGCTGCCCTGGTCACGCTGTGGAACGTGATGGTCGTGAACAACTGGCAGGTGTTCCTGGACGCCTATCAGCGCTACTCGGGCCCGTGAGTGACCCGCCCGGCTCCCGCCCGTCCTCCCGCGCCCTTGCCCGGGACTCTGGGTGGCACCTGGCATCGCTGGGGATGTGTGGGAGCTGCACAGGCCCTGGAAACACCTGGGGGGTTCCTTGGGTGCCTGGGGGGGCTGGTGGGCGTCTGGGGGGGAGCCTGGAGGGAGCTGGGTGGAGGAGGGGAAGTCTGGGGGGAGCAGGGCGGAGGAGCTCAGCTTGGAGCGCAGCCCAGCCCCGGGCATGGTCCCGGTCCCAGTCCCAGCTCCACCTCCTGCTGGTCCTGCCGCCTTGGGCAGCTCATTGTCTTGGCTTCTGGGCATCTCTAAAGTGGGAGGACGTCACGGGGTTACCGGGCAGGACCCAGCGAGAGCTGCCCCAGACTCGTGGCAGGGTCTGCGCTCCTCCGGTGGTCTCGCTGTGCTCACGGTGGGCCTGCGCGAGCCTCCTCCTCGTCCTCCGCAGGTGGTCCAAGATCTACTTTGTGTTGTGGTGGCTGGTGTCGTCTGTCATCTGGATCAACCTGTTTCTGGCTCTCATTCTGGAGGTACAGGGGGAGTCCTGGGGGCTTCGGGCGGCCCTGGGCTCAGTGCAGCTCACCTGTTGCTGGGAGGGTTTGGGAACAGCCCTGACATTTGACCTGAGGGTGTCCTCAGGGCCCCGGGGGACATGTGGCTCCCAGGAGCTGGTGGCCTTGCTGGCCCTGGACCCCGGCTTCCCGTGCCCCACACCAGGCGGGGGTGGGGCGGGGGGAGGTGAGGCTGGTTTGACGCAGGGCCAGCACCCACTGGCCTCCCTCCACCCTCCCGCTCCCCAGAACTTCCTCCACAAGTGGGACCGCCGAGGCGAACTGCAGTCCCGCTCCGGGGACCAGATCACCGCAGTGGACCTGTTGTTCAGGTGTGCAGGCGGGGAGGGCCTGCCGCTCGGCCCCTGGGCGAGGAGGGAGGCAGGGAGGTGCGGGGCAGACGTTCTCTGTGACAGTGACTCTCCCCACAGCCCGGGCTCCTGGCCTCCCTCTGGCGGAGCTCGAGCTCCCTGGGGTCTGGGGTTGGGGTTGGGGTCCAGGGTCGGGGTCTGTTGCTTCCGCTGCTCCTGCTGCCCGGCCGTGAACTGTCCTGTTCTCCATTGAGCATATTCGTGGAAACATCCTGAGGTGCTGTTAGTCTCCAGGTGATTCTGTGGGTGGACGTGGACAGGTGACCGAGGACACCACCCTTGGTTCCTCTCCTAGTGGAGAAAGGTGACCGCCTCCCTCATGGGCGTTGGCTGCCTTGTCTCAGTGGTTCCCTGTCCCGCCCCAGCAGCCACCGGGGCTTTCAGGAGCGCCAGGCACACTTCCCGCAGATGTGTCTGAGTCCCGGGTCCCGCCCTCGCCCTCCCCTGTGCATGTGTAGGGGGCTGCCCTACGCAGGGAGCCGGGCAGGGCTGGCCCAGGCTGCACCTCGTTGTCTGGAAGGGCCATGCACACCTTCTCCCGGTCCTGCAGGGAGGTCCTGGAGGAGCCGACGGAGGAGGAGCTGATGGCCAAGCTGCGGCATCACCCCCACCTGCAGCTGTGCAGGTGACGTCCCGTGTGCCTCCCTGGCTGGCGGATGGCGATGTGGCCTGGGGACCAACGTGGGTCCTGGGGAGAGGCAGCTGCGGCCCGAAGGAGAGACAGAGCCACTCCGCCCCTGAGGCCGTGACAGAACCGACAGAGCCGAGGCCCTGTGCACTGCCTAGCGGAACATGGCAGCTTCTGTCTGCAGCATCGCAGCACGGCTGGCGCTTTGGCAGCGTCCACGCCACGCTCTTACGTGAGCTGCTTTTACTTGTCTCAGTGCGGGAAGAGGGTGACTCCACAGGGACCTTTGAGACGGTCTGAAAGCAAGAAGCAGGCCTCCTCGTGGCCCTGCGGTTTCCGTGGTGCCTTTGCTGCCTGCGGCCTTCAGGGACCAGAGGCCCCGTGGGGCCTGCACAGGCCGCCGGCAGCTTCCCGGGCCAGTAAGTGTGGATCCTGGTGGCTTCGCACGAAGTGGGCCGTGGCTGTTTTATTACTGTATGAATTGTGTGAATGTGATTGGGTGTTTCCTTACGGGTCAGGATGCCAATATCAATGAGTTTTGCAAAGAATGAGGTTGTCGTCTTTCCTGCGACACAGTTGTCCTGCTCCTCCGGTCCTTTCAGTTGTGCACGGCCGGGGGCTGTCTACCCGAGGCAGGGGCCACCTTTTTCTAATTTGCATAAAGGCGTGTATAAGCCAGGAGTGGTCCTACTGTGTATCCTCAGGGTGTGGCAGGAGGGCCAGGGCTGGGGGAGGAGTGAGCAGTGTGTGGAAGGCCATGTTGCCATGTGATCCATCGCAGATCGTGGTCCTACTATGTGTCCTCAGGGTGTTGGGGGAGGAGTGAGCAGCGTGTGGAAGGCCATGTTGCCATGTGATCCATCGCAGATCCAGATGGCAGGTGGTTCCCTTATGAACTGCCGACTCAGGGATTGGTGATCGCTCCTCGAGGCCTCTGTTGAGGACTGGGATCTCCGTGGAAAGCATTGCTGAAATGGATTAGTGATGTCTGCCGAGGGCACTGCACAGCCACGAGGACACAGGTGCTGGCCACCTGAGAAGGGATGTCTGGTCTCCTGTCTGGACAATGGGATGAGAGGAAAGTTTAACTGAAAAAGTAGCTTCTGAAACGTCACGAACCCCAGTGCTCGGGGTTTGTAAACCCTGGGGGTGGTTTTGTACCCACACACGCTGCACTTTCTGGTCCTGGAGTGGATCTGAAATCCCTCAGGTTTGGGGGACCTGTGGGGGCTGTGAGGACACTCCCAGCCCGGGCCCCTCTGCAGCTGCCTTTCCAGAAGGCAGGTTTGGGGCAGGAGAACATCCTGGAGCAGCGGCTAGAAGGCCACAGCCACCTGGCCTCGCAGGGCCCTGCTGTCTGGGTCAGGGGTGAGGCCCCCGGCATTGCTGCCCTGCTCACTCCTCCGCCGTCCTGGCCCCCCTCCACTGCTGCCGACCTTCCGCACGGTTCCACCCCAGGTCTCAGCGCCATCTAATGGCGGGATTGGGTTCTGTTGGCCTCGTTTTTCATGGAAGCTGGACTCTGTGACCCCCAGGACGGCTCATTGCTTTCCCCTGGCCGGCCGCAAGCTGCCTGTCTCGGGCTGTGACCCTGCCTCAGCGTCTGGGCTGCAGGCTGAGCAGGCACCGCGGGGTGGGGTGTCCTGTGCAGGTGCCAGAGCCGCACGGTGCATCCACCCCGCCCGATTCACGTCTTGTCGCAGAGAAGTCTCCCTGACGTTTACCGTCTGAGCAGATGACTGGACCAGTGGTTCTCAACCTTCCTAATGCCGCGACCCTTTAATACAGTTTCTCATGTGTGGTGACCCCCAATTTCATTGTTACAAATTGAACATAATTAAAGCATAGTGATTAATCACAAAAACAATATGTAATTATATATGTGTTTTCTGATGGTCTTAGGTGACCCCTGTGAAAGGGTCGTTCGACCCCCAAAGGGGTCGCGACCCACAGGTTGAGAACTGCTGCTCTGGACGATCTGTGCTGGGCTCCGGGGGGCAGGGCTGGTTGGAGAGGCTGGCTCCACTCTCGGGCGTGGTCATTCTGGTGCCTTCTGACTGTGCAGGGCTCTTGACACACTGAGGGGTTCCATCCGCCAGTTTCAAAGGTGCCAGCCTCTGAGCCTTTGTTCCAGTGAGAGCTGGCTGGGCTCGGGCGGGGCTGCTGGTGCAGGGCGGGCCGCTGGGTGGCCCTGTCCGCAGTGCTCTGTGTCCCCGCCCCCGCCCCCGCCCAGGCCACCACGCTGCACTGGGGGAAGTCTACTGGTGACGAGCGTGTGTTCTCGTTTCAGCCGTGGTTTCCCGTGGCTGCTGTGGCTCTGGCCGGGCATCAGGGACGGGGGGCAGGGGAGTCATCCAGCATAGCGGCAAGTCAGGGACCCCTGGGCCAGGGTCACGGCCCCGATGGAGCAGAGGCAGGAGGATCCCCGGGCCTTAGGTGTAAAAGGCAGACTTGGAAGCACTTCACAGACTATACGTACAGAAAAGAAAATGTTGATAAACTCAGGACACATAAGAACTTTCTTTAAAAGGCACCGCAGACAGGCAAGCCACCGCCTGGGGAAATGTGTGTAGCAGGTGTAACTGAGTAAGGACCTCTGTCTGGGCCACGTGAAAAGCTCCTATAAATTAGCAAGAAAAAGACAAACCGATAGAAAACGGGCTTGAACGGGTTTTTCACAGAGAAGCCAAGTCCCGTAGTGACGTGAAAAGACGTGCAGTCTCACCGTGATCCGAGATGCAAGGCGAGGCCGCACTGATGTGTTTCACAGCCTCGAGCAGGTCTGGCCTTGGAGTGGCTGGAACCGCAGATGTGCTTGGAGGAAGTCTGATGGACACAGCCTCTTGGGAAATAGTTTGGCATCATTTACGGTCGTTGGATATGGCACCTTGTTCTGCTCGGGACACACTGAAGAGCGGCCCCTGCCCGCGTGCGCCAGCGGGTAGAACGTTGAGAGAGCAGAAGCCGGGCACCACTTACACGCCCTCGACAGAACGCACACGTCGAGGAGCTCTACTCACACAGCACCGCACGCGGCCTCCGGCCTCGAAGAGCTGCGTGAAGGGATCTTAGAAACACAACGTCGAGTGAACAAAGCAAGTTCCAGGAGACTCCGTACAGAAAAGTATTACTTACGTAAAATTCAAAACCAGAGTTAAGCCCTAACCAGTTTGGCTCAGTGGATAGAGCGTCGGCCTGCGGACTGAAGGGTCCCAGGTTCGATTACGGTCATGGGCATGTACCTTGGTTGCGGGCACATCCCCAGTGGGGGCTGTGCAGGAGGCAGCGGATCAATGTTTCTCTCTCATCGATGTTTCTGAGTCTCCATCCCTCTCCCTTCCTCTCTGTAAAAAATCAATAAAATATATTTTAAAAAAAAACAAGAAAAAAACCACCGAAGTTAATGTGCCTTCAGGGCGTGCACCCATTGGCAGTACCGTCACCTGTAGCTCAAGGGCACGGGAGCCTGCAGTCCCGGGAGGGGCCACCTCTTGGGGAGGCAGGACCGTGGAAGGACCCGTGGTCATATGGTGGGCACGATCTGGGCGGTGTTCGCATTCTGGCTGCGTGGGGGGCACGGTCATTGCCTTAAGAACTTTGTAGTGTAGGTTTATGTTACACTTTCTTTTGTACTTTCCAAATATTAACATGTAGAAGGAGGGGACAGAGGGGACGAATGAGGACGAGGAGTTTTCCTGCAAAGGGGGCTGTGAAGCGGGTGACCACTGGCAGGGCCGCGGGGTCAGGAGCGTTGGGTTATGTGCATGGAGGATTGTGGGAACTGCTCGGGAGGGAGGCCCAGGACTCAGGGAGCACTCCGGTGGGCAGGCCCGAGGAGTCGCTGGAGCCTTGGCTTTAGTGGACGAGGGCCGTGGACGGTGGCAGGAGGCGCAGAGGCGAGGGCTGGACCAAAGCTGCTACCGGTCAGGGTCTGCACGAGGGGGCCCAGTGTCCCCGAGGCCCCTCCGGGGCTCCCTCCCACACGCGGCCTAGGCCCTGGCAGCTGGGCAGGGGCCAGGCCGGGGCCCAATCTGTTCCTGGAACCTCAGCGCAGCCCCGAAGAGCGGGCTGGGCCTTTCATGTGGTCTCTCCTCTGCTCAGCACAGCAGGGAGGCATCTTGTCTTTCACCAGAACAGCCCGGGTTTGGTTTCCTGCCTTGGAGATAATTGCTGGTTCCTATTAAAAGGTTAGACAATTCCTTGCTTTAAAAAAGAGTGGGCAGCAGGCACACCGCACGGCTCTTGAACATCACCGAAGGGGGCGTGGGGCTCGGGCGCCCTCACATCAAAGTGGCCAGCAGGCACTGCGGGCAGCGCGCCCCCAGCCCTCTGATCACATTGGGGGCCGAGCTATTCTGGTAACACAATCGGAGCCGCACAGGGTGGTGGGCCCACACCTGCGGGCCTGGGTGCCCCCTGCTGCCTGGGACCCACATCCGTGGGCTAATCTGCTTTGGGGCCTTGGCAACACCTGTCGCAGGTGGGGCGACCTGCCTTGCCTACCTCTCTGGCCTTTAGTTTCCCCTCACAGACTTGGGTGAGGAGGAGCCATCGATGCCGGAATCCATAGCCAGGTGACCATTCTCTAACTCAGCGGTTCTCAACCTGTGGGTCGCGACCCCTTTCACAGGGGTCACCTAAGACCATCGTAAAACACATATAATTACATATTGTTTTTGTGATTAATCACTATGCTTGAATTATGTTCAATTTGTAACAATGAAAATACATCCTGCATATCAGATATTTACATGACGATTCATAACAGTAGCAAAATTACAGTTATGAAGTAGCAACGAAAATAATTTTATGGTTGGGGGTCCCCACAACATGAGGAACTGCGGCGTTAGGAAGGTTGAGAACCACTGCTCTAGCTGCATGCATTGGGCCAGCGGCCCAATTGCATTGTGGGTGGGGGCAGGGACACTAACAAGGGCTCGGTGAGAGCAGAGATGGGCCGGGCCACCTGCCTGGCCCCGCAGTTGCGTGTTCCCTTTGCTGCTCCCCTCGGCCTGCCCTGCGCAGCAAGGGGTGTTTCTGCTCCCTCTGCCCCAGGGCCTGGGGTGCGTGGTGTGCAGCTGCTGCTCCTCGAAGATCTGGAGAGAGAATGTGGAACAGGTGCTCGGCATCAGACTCGAGCACGCGCTCTGCAGATACGGACGGGCTCCTCTGCCGGGCAGGGAGGTGCAGTGGGATGGACAGAAAGGCTGGGCCGGCAGGGGGGCCAGAGGCTGCCCACACGCCCCAGGACCCACTGCTGCTGTGCGTCAGCTCCGAGCTTCCTGGCAGCCTTTGGGAAAAGGGAAGAGGTTTCTACTGGAGGAGGCAGCGGGCTGCTTGTTGGTGAGCTGTTTCCCACACCAGGCCCGGGAGGCCCGGCAGGCTTCCTGGTGGAGCCGTTCTGGGCGGGGCTGGGACACGTCTTCCGGGAAGTGGGGGATCCACCGCAGTCTCCCCAGCCTCGGTTTTCTCACCTGCCTGTTTCGAAGGCTCCTTGTGGGGACCCTACGAAGTGAAGAGGTAAAAGCGGCGTCTGGTCTGCGGAGGA